GGTATTGAGCTAGTCGCACTTCAACAGTTTGATCATGGTATTCCAACGGGAGAAGTGGCAGCTTTGGGCTTTGGGTGCACAGCAGCCGATGCCAAAATAGTAATACGGAGACGGTAGATCCTCTTGAGAATCGGGTAGGGGTTCGCTCCTTTGTATCTAACCACGACCTTGCTCAACTACAGTGTGTACTACAATTGTACTAGTACCAGTTACTCCTAGTTTAGCTGGTTGCAAGTGGTTGTGGTCGCCCACTTCGCCATGCCCATCACCGACAGCACGAGACGTCAATAGTGTAGCTGCAGAGAGTTTCACCACAAATAGTGTACATTGTCAGGCGTTGCGCACCTTGACGCTGTGAGTCGACAGCGGTGGCGCGCCGCTGTCGACACCACACTGGCTTGTGTTTGCATGCATTCAACATAGGTCCAGACCACAACGTGCTGATAGATAATCTGAATTCCTGAGTCGAGCAAGAAGCCAGTGTGCCCTGCATACAGCTCCTCGCCGGCTTCCAGCGCGATTCTACCGCCCGCAAGCTTAGTATTTTAGGGGCCAGATACTGTCGTAGCTTCCGCTTGGAACACGCAGAGTGCATCACGTAGAGTCTTCGTCAATCCAGTGCTTGGGTGCCCGGTCGCAACGGAGAAACCGATCAGAGTTGGGTGCAACAAGCCAGATCACACTATTTCTTGCATAACGATCCGACGTGTCGCTGCCACTTTGCCATCGTTGTACGTGAGATGGCACCGTCATCGCCACCTCACCCGAGCCCGCCCGCCGACTCGCCAGGTACGCCCGGCTTCAGCGGCGACGACGATGTCTTTGAGCTTGACGACGCCACCGGCCACGTCTTCATTGCGCCAACGGGCGACCTGCATGGCGCCCGCCACCTCGTTGCCGACGCGACACCGCCGTACTTTACGAGCTCGGTCGCGCATGCGAGCGTGACGTCGGAAGACGACGACCACGAGAAGGACGAGCCATCACCGGTTGTCGCGGCCGCGCCCCGAGCGAGCCGGTACCATTCGGCGATCTCGGGCCTCAAGTCGCTCTCATCCGCACCGTCGCACCTCCTCGGCAAAGGCAAGTACGCCAAAGCGCAACTTCTCTCCAAGATCCCGTACAAGAAGGCCAAGGCACGCGTCTCGAATCTGCCACCGCCGACGCTCTGCTCGTCGTGCCCGCCCAAGGCGCCGTCCAAGCTCAGTCTCTACCGGCAAAAGTCGATGCCGCCGCCCATGTGGACATGCATGTCCTGTCCGCATGTGCATCTCTGCGAGTCGTGCTATCGCTCGGGCGTCCATGGGCTCGAGGGCTCGGAAGCAATGGAGACGTACGACGAGCTCCTCTCGGATCTCAAGTGGATGAAGGCCTGCAAGGCGTTCACCAAGCCGCTCTTGCTCATGCTCCGCCACGACATTTGCAACCACTCGCCGTCCAAGTACCAATTCATGTGCGGCTGGCTCGCCGACATCCTCGGCTCCAAGCCAGTTGCCAAGATTACGATGCGCGGTGTGGCCATGAAGGACCTCCGCCCCGACGTGCGCCAAGCGTTTGTCGCAGCGCTCATGCCGCTCGTCGCGAACCGCAGCGACTTGGACGTCAACATCGAGTGGGCTCTAAGCGCCGACGACAACCAGCTCGAGCACCTTCGGCTATGGATCTCGGACAAGAAAGGCCGGCGCGAGAGTCCGTTTGACACGTCGCTGTTGACGACCGAGCTCCACGACCAAGATGCGTCGTGACAGCCAATGTGCGGCTGTAATATACTGTATATGCTATCTACACCGTGTCTTTGGCTTGTCTACACACCTTGGCCTTAGCAACGACAACAAGAGGCGGCCAACGAAGGTCGCGTACATGGTGTCGGTTGCGTCCTGGCGCTCCTGGCGCAGTGCGCGGGCGTACAGCAGGGCGCCAGCCCCCGCCACGACCATCCCAAGGGCATTTCCAGGCGCTAGAGGGACGCCGAAGTAGGCGAACGAGAAGAGAATCGTGAGCACGCGTCGGAAGGCATTCACGACCGCGTGGGTCGTCATGTCGGTCGCGACAAGTACGCTGTACGATGCCTACGTCCATGTCAATACGCCAGAGCAGGAGACGACGGCACGGATACGCGATGGTAGGTATAAAAGCTCACGCCATTGAGAAGACCCACAAGGACGTGCTTGGGTTGCAACTCGATCCAGCGGACGCCGCCAAACGCCAGCGAGACGGTCGCGCCAAGCCACTACAGTCGTCAACGCGTCAGCCAGTCCATGTCCGTCTATACCTCGAGACCTGGAAGAGCATGCCATACAAGAGCGTTGCTGCGAAAATGTGTTCGAGCGGCAGCGCGCGCTGCAGCTGCTTGACGAGAAGCGACCGAATCGGGAAGACAATGTTGGCGACCATGACCATGGCCAAGCCTAAGATGCGAAAGGACGCGTTGTGGTACGCAGAGAGACCGACGCCGAGAACGATGGGACCCAGCGCCACAAGGCGTAGCCTATATGCGCAGTTGTATACGACGGACTGTGTTTGCGCACCTGCTCACGGGAGCGTCGCGTCGCAGGCGCGTCATGGCCAAGGACACGGTCCATAGAGGCTCCAAGGCGCGCAGCGTCTCGCTGATGGATACGTGCATGAGCTCAAAGCCGCCGTTGAGACACGAGACACCGATCGCGAACGCCAAGGCGGCGAAGAGGAGGCTTATTTCTTGGGATTCGCTGAGCACGGTCTCGGGCGACCGGCGTGGCGCGGCCCAGAGAGCGTGGCAGATGTAGGCCAGCGTCATCTGCAGTGCAGAAAGCGTGTACGGGCAGTGGATCTCGGATAAGATTTGCTTGGACGTCACGCCGCAGAGCACGGACCCGACGAGCCAGGCGGCGACGCTGTGGCTGATGGTCGTCTGCATCTCGGATCCTCAGTGCGATGCCATTGGTCAGGACAGTGGTCATTTGCACCAATCCAAGGGCGCCATCGCCGGTTGGAGCACACCTGTGATTGGTAAAAAAACGGTTTTAGCACGATTGCATTGGCCTATTTAGAACGATATGTCATGCATTTCAGCCAATGAAATAGTGCGGTGAATTGTATTGCGTCATCGGCCCAATCCATTTGGACGGACGAGCAAGCAGCATGTCGTTGGCGTTCCTGGCGAAGAAGAGCTGGCATACGTCCAACCTCAAGGTAGACGCGTGCTCCATGTAGCATGGCCTTATGCATCTTGCATCTAGAACGTCGAGAAGGTATGGAAGGCCGAGCAGAAGCATGCGCAAGAAGAGAACAAGCTCCTCGAGCTGCGGAAAAACCTCGAGGAGGAGCGCCAGCTCAAAGAGCTCCGTGAGATGCAAGCCAAAATGTCGGGCGGCAAGGTCGATCAAACGCAGCGCGTCGACTGGATGTATGATGGTCCGATGGCGGCGTCGCAGACCGAGCGCACGGCCGAGGACTATTTGCTCGGGAAGGAATACAAGCCCGCGCCCGAAGAGAACCAGCTCAAGCAACTCGCAGCGCAGCCAGGCTCGCTGTACATGAGCGCTGCGCCGTCGGCCGTGAACGATTCGTTCTCTCGCCTCAACGAAGACCCGATGATGATGATCAAGCGCCAGCAAAAAGCCGCGCAGCTCGCGGTGCTCAAGAACCCGGCCAAGATGAAGCACCTCAAGGACAAGGTCGAGCAGGAGCTCTCGGAGCGCAAGGCAGCCAAGAAGGCCAAGAAGGAAGCCAAAAAGGCCAAGAAGGAGAAGAAGCGGGCCAAAGACTCGTCGCCCCCGCGGTCGGCGAGCCGTGAGAAATCGACCCGCGGTCTCGCCCGAGAGCACCGCACTGCGCAGCACTCGAAGAGCCCGATCCGGCATCGCTCCCGAAGCCCTCGTCGCCGCATTCCGGTGGATGATCGCCGACGTTCGCACAAGCGGTCGCTGAGCCCCCGGCGGCGGAGCCCGTCCATGGATCGGCGGCAAAGTCCCTCCAAAAGCAAGCGCCGCCGTTCGCGCAGCCCGATTTTGCGGCAAAAGCGCAGCCAGAGTCCGCGGCGTCGGTCCCCAAGCCCGCGCCGCCGTCATCACTCGCCGAGTCCGCGCCGCAGCCGTCGGTCATCCAGCCCACGCCGCCGCCAGCGGTCCCCGAGCCCGCGTCGTGGTCGTCCCTCGCCGAGTCCTCGTCGTCGTCGCTCGCCAAGTCCTCGCCGTCGTTCGCCAAGCCCGACGTCGACCAAGCCAGTCTCGCCGGCCAAGGAGTCCACGAAGGCGCAGCCACCCCCACGCAAGGGGTACGGTCTCATTGGCGGTGAAAATGCGGTACATTTGAGATGCGTTGCATGTCGCCGTGTCTTATACCTCGTCTAGCGCAAGTGCAAGGACGTCGACACGGAGAGCTTGGGCCCGAGCCGCAAGCTGCTCGAGCTCGCGCGCCAAAAGAAGGAGCAAGACGCGGCCGCGCTTGACGAGCGACTCAAGCGGGCGCGCGTGATGACGCAAACGGATACGTCGGACCGCGACGCGCGTCTGCGGGAGATGGCTGAGGACGCCAAGCGCCGCGAAGTCATTTTGGAAGACCGGCTGCGCGCCAAAGAGGCGGCCAAAGCCAAAGAAGATGCGTTGCCGCAGGAGTCCACCCACGGGTCGAACCCGACGTTCCTCCAAGAACTCAACCACGCTGCGTACATTGGCTCGAACGAAACCATGAGCGAGCGCTTGAACCGCAACAAACACTACATTCAGCGCAATGCCAACAGCAACAACTTTATGAACTAACTAACATTGGTGTCGTGTTCGACGTGCATGACGAGTCGACCATCACCCGACCATGTCGGAGCACAAGAGTGATGATGGACGTAGCTGGTCGCACTCTCCCCACTGGACCACCAGCCCTTGCTCTGCACAATGGTGCGGACTGACGCTCGCATGTGCTCTAGTATTGCGGTACCTTGTCAGATTTGTGCCAGGGCAGAGTCACACAATCCGCACTGACCTTGTGTGGCGTGCCAACTTGGATGCAGAAATGAGTGGCCACGACGGGTCCAGCGGGTGGCTCGACGAAGAACACGAAGGACTCATGTGCGACAGGACATCGCGGTAAACAGGGCAGTCTCGTCGACGCGTTGCGATTCCTCGACTGCAGAGCTACAATGGTTGACACATTTTGCAGCCTTTTGCACGGGTTGATACCCACTCGCAGCACAACATTATGACAATGGAGTACATTACTCGCGTCTTAGAGCAGTTGCACGAGTGCGACGAGACCGACGAGCAGCATCCCAGCGGACGTGGTCGACGCCGGCGACGCGGCCTTGCCCGACTTGCACATTTGCACAAGGTTTTGCATGTTGACAAACGTCGCGGGCGTCACCTGTGCAAAGGCCGAGTCGGTCGTGCCAATGGCCTGGCACTCGACAGGAATGCCCGCGACAAAGGCCGAGAGCGACTGGACGCACTGCGCGTTGGCGCAAAAGCTGGCGGCGTTCCCGAGCGGGCACGACGCAAGCGGCGTCCAGTAGGTCTGGAACGCCGTCTGGCACGCAGTGTTGACGACGCTGGTGGTAGCAGGCGTCGTCGTGTTGGTCGAGTTGGCCGCCGACGCGCAAGCAACGAGCGCAACAAGGAGGAAGATGGTACGCATCATGGAGGCCATGGTGGTGGTCGAGCAGGGAAGCAGCAGAATCGGATTTCTAGCCAGTCTCGCCTGCAGGGCGGATGTAATGCATCTGTCCAGAACCAATGGCCAATGGCATCGCAGAAACGGAATGAAATTCCACCAATCGTAGACCACGTCGATCGCGTCGCCAGTGGCGTTTCTTGCACCATAGTGCAGCGCCAGTAATTGGGCCAGCATTCGAGACGCGCGATTTCATTGGCCAAAAAGATGTAGACGCTGCAACCCAACATGAACCCGGCAGGTGGGCTCCTCGTCGCATTGCGCCTGTAGTTGCTCGTGCTAGGGCCACATTGCGACTGTACTACTAACTACGAGTAGGTACACACCATGTAGCCTGCAGCGTGCAGGTGCGAGATCTGGGCGCGAAATGGAACGGTATCCTGAACAAGCACAGCCCCGTGGTGGTCAAGTGTGCACAAGTTCAGTTCGCCATTCCGAGCTGCAGGGCGACCTCGTTTTCTGCAAAGGTCGCGAGCGAGTCTGTGCCAGTACAGAGTGTTGGACGTCGTCATGCTCAATGTACGTCGCTCGCATGGTGCTGGAGCGTTATCACGCGAAGATTCTGATTCGCTGACGTGGCGGCGCTTGTCTAGCCCACTTGTAGTAGTTATATATTGTTGACATGCCCTGTACGCGCCGTCTCGCTAAGCGCGTCATTCTTATTCCTCCTAATCTGACCGCCGTCCATGCCTGTACTCAGTCGGCGGTGGCTTCGAAATCCCACGTCCCCGCGATGGCTTCCGCAAAATCAACAAGCGTCGATTGAGAAAAATATCGAAGCGCGCATGTCCGTTCCCCAATACGACGTGTCGCTCGTCGCTTGGCTCACATGCGCTGCGCAATGCAGCGCTGTTGCGGTAGAGGCGCATGCCACCTCGTTCGCGCAAAGATTCGCCGCGAGATTCACTCTACTCGGCTCGAATTCCCGTGCTTTTCAACCTTCTTCGAGTTCGAGTGATCGCGAGCACAAAATAATAAAAATAATATAAACTCTGGGCAGGATACTGCGTGATCGGATTCGCGGGGCGTCGCGAATTAAAATGGACGCATCTCGCTATATAAAGGTATGGCGTGCCACCGTGTTGCACTTGGTTTCAATTAAAATACTCCACGACACGCTCTGAATCTTCAACCCAGTTATCCGGATAAATGTGAAATTGTGACCAATCAACGCTCGTTTCGTGACATCCAGCGCGCGCTTTGTGCAGTGGGCTTGGCGCGGATCGTCCGGATACCGGTCGCATACAAACGCCAAGAGCCACTGAACCTTCACTCGGCCCCAAAAGCACCTTGGAATTTAATGGATTAGAAATCATTTCCGAATTTTCCCAGAACCGAGTAAGTCCTGATTGCGCCCGACCCGCCCATGCGCCAGATCAGCCCGATGCAAGCACGACGAAGGGGACGCAACTGCCCACACGACCTCGTGAAGCTCGCCAAGAAGTACTCGCCAGTCCTCGTCAAGGGCTTTAGCACCGGCAACATTGCGGTTGTCGACAAGCGCAGCTGGCTTGAAGTCTGCGACCGCAAGCACCGATACGGCGCCAACCTCCGCGCGTACTACAAGGAGTGGAAGCGCTACGAGGGCCCAAAGCCTGGCTTCTGGGAGTGGCTCGACGATGAGTCAGTCGAAGTCGACGGCGTTCCACGTGCCAAGCTCGAGAGCGAAACCGTACTCTACTGCGACAAGGCCGAGCGCCAAAAGTTTGCGCTCACATTCCGCGATGGCATGCTGTACACGGTCGCCGACGACGTGCCCGTCGACACGGGTGACGACGGCTGGATCTTTGTGCTCCGCGACGGCGTCCTCTACGGCAGCGAGAAGGTGACGACACAGGTGCCCCGCATCCACCACACGAGCTTGTCGGGCGGCGAGTGCGTCCAAACCGCGGGCATGATGGTCGTCTCGAACGGCACGCTCAACATTATTTATCCCCACAGTGGCCACTACCGGCCGTCCGAGAACGAAGTGCTTGTGCTGCTTCGGTTCCTCGAAGGCCATGGCATTGAACTCGAGGACGTCCTCGTCGACGTCCAGCGCATCCAAAAGGTCTCGCGCGAGCGCTCCAACAACGTCAAGGTCAAGAAGCTCGACAATGCACATTTCTGGAACGGACGCATGGCCCGCGACTTCTTGGAGCTCAAGGACTTTGTGTGGCACAGCGACTTGTTTGTCGACCTCGAGCGCTGCGTCGCGCACATTGAGCTCCAGCGCCACCAGCACCTCGCCGAGGCCGAGCAGCAGCGGCTCATGAAGGCGCTCGCGCTGCCGCGGACGTCGTCGTCCGAGTGCGTGTGCGGCGACGACGACGTCGACATGCTCGACGACTGCGGCGACATGGACGCCCATCCGCTCGCGGGCTGCACGCTGGATGTTGTCGACGGTCCGTTGTACTTTTAACTTAACCGCCTCCGTGGGCACTCTTCGTCGTCGTCGTCATCCCCACTCCACATCACCCTCATCCCCCGTAGCTACTAGTTTGTAGGCAGGATTTAACCTATTCCTAATCTATTAATTTGTATTATATAGCCTCCCGTTCGTGTTGGCCACATCCTTGTAAGCGATGCATAAACGGCCTTGGATGCGCCGCCGTTTACGCAGCTTGATGTGGCCGAGACCCCGCCGAACTCCAGGACGTCGCATGATGAGCTATACACTGGCGTCGCAATGCGCCGACGCTAGAGCTCCGTACCGCCATGTACCACGCAGGTGGCACATCCAACGACCAGATCGACGATCCCACGACGATGTGGATGCGGCCTTGGGCGCGACTGTCCGAGCGTGCGCAGAGGATTCTGTGTATTCTTTCGAAGTCGCGAATGGACCCTAACCCGCATGTTGACGTCATCAACAACGCAGTGCCATCGTCACAGGTCCAATGACGATGGCACTGCGTTCTGACGTCGCCGGCGTGAAGCCTTGCATCATCTGCATTGCTGAGCTGCATCATCAATACCCGAGTAAACTGGAGCGCGGTTCTCAGTGTTGCTGCGTGCCGTGCATCCCTCGCCTTGCTTGGACATCAACCCGCCTCGCGCGCTTCGTCTGCCAGCCCACAGACACCTTGGTTTTACGAGGCAACACGAAAAGCTCGTCGATTCACTGGATATATCTATATTCTTTCCGTGATTCACGGAATGTTCTTTGCTTGCATCAACTGCATTGTGCAAGGGACGGTGCGCGGGCGCGGCTCGGACGACCCTCTCGAACCCACAAAGCACTTGCCATGACCATCAGTTCTCCGGTGTCGCCGACATATGCGGTCTTTGGAGCAGTGCGATGATCGCGGCAAAACCATCTCGGAGTGCAATATCGAGTGGCGTGAGCTGATCGAGATCCCGGACGTCGCATTTGGCGCCATTTTCGAGGAGCAGCGCGACACAGTCGGTGCGCTGCCACGACACTGCGCAGTGCAAGGGACTTCGGCGCACCGAGCACAAATTCGGGTCTGCGCCGGCGGTCAAGAGGCGGTGCAGAACCTCGGCATGGCCGTTCGCAGCTGCGTAGTACAGCGCCGAGCACCCATCGACGTCCTGCATGTTGACGTTGGTCACGAGACGCGTCGCCAGCAGCACATGGAGGAAGACAACGTGACCTTCGACGGCGGCGTAATGGAACGGATGCCGCGCCATGACCACGTCCACCATGTCGTGTCGCAGCGCTACGTTGTGGGATTGTAGCATGTCGACCATGCGATCTGTCACTGCCGCATCCGTCCCCGCGGCTTCGTGCCACACGGTGACGCCCATGGCATCGGTCGCACTGCCGTCCGCACCGGCGCACAAGAGGAGATCCGCGACGTCGACGTGGCCCTCGCCAATTGCAATGTGCAGTGGCGTATGGCGTGTGTGGGAGCTGATATGAACGCTGGCACCATGCGCAAGCAGCTTGCGCACGGCGTCGGTCCGGCCGTGCTTGGCGGCTTCGTACAGCGCTGTGAGCCCCGTCTCGCTTTGATCGTTGATGTTGGTACCCGCGACGAGCAAAAGGTCCAGCACAGCGAGGTGCCCTCCGCGCGCCGCGTACATGAGCGGTGTGCGCCCGCGGGTTGTGTGCGACGCGACGAGCGCGCCGTGGGCGAGCAGCACAGCGACAACGTCGGCATGGCCGTAGAGCGCGGCTTCGTGCAGTGGCGTGCGCGCGTACAGCTTGCGCGCATCGGGGAAGAGATACGCGTGGTGCGCCAAGAGGTAGTCAACGATCGCGCTCTGGTTGTTGGCGGACGCGAGGTGCAGGGCCGAAAGCTGCTCGTTGCCAGCGGCGGTGGCCTGCAGAAGACGCGTCTGCTGGTCGGTGGTGAAGCCATCGAGGTACGCGATGAGCTCGTGCAATGGACCGGCTTTGCAGAGACCCAGAAGTCGCTTCTCATGACGAGCCTTCTCTTTCTTGCTCCATGCGCGCTCCATGTCGCCTCGTCCAGCAAACCGAATGTGGAGATTCGCATTTCGTCCGGATACCACGAGACGAGGCTTGATGCACGCCACCTAATCGATCCAGCTCAAGCAGTTCAAGCAGAAGTTCAAGCCAAGGTCAAGCAGCGGTCGTATCTACCCACCGACTATAGATATATGTGCTACTGCAACGCACCAGACTATGCACCAAGAGCGCTCGGTCTTTCAAAAGACTCAGAGCGCATCATGCGCCTCTTGGTGGCGTTTATGCGGGTGCAGGTAACACACCCGACCAGATTCGACGCAGACGAGCTTTACCACCGCCTCCCAGGTACTATAGTACGCGAGCACTAAACAGAGCGAAGGAATCGGCGCCGTCGGTTATCGGAGCCAGCACGCAGCGTGAGCAACGATGGATCCGTGTTGCCAATGCCATGATCGCGCTCGCCGGCATCTGATTGGTTGCCGCCGATTGCAGTTGGTTGTGATTGGTCGCCGCCCTCTGTGCAGGGTACGCGACTGCAGCCAGATAGCGCGCTCGTGGCAGCTCGAAATGTTTTGGCGTCGAATCAGGCGCCGCAAGATGCAGCTGCCACGTCATGTACCGTGGCGGCGCTTGACACACCGTGCATGTCTACGTCGATGCAAAGTTGCGTGCGACTAGTGCGTGCCACGCGCCGTGTTACATTATCCGGATGTCTCGTGGACTTGCTCCAAAGCAGTTCAGTTGAGAATTCGAACCCGAGCGCCCAAGTCGCAGCGGCCGAGAGCAACAGCAAGAACGACGACGACCACACGACGCCTCCTCAGTAGCATGCTGGCGCCAGGTACGCGCCATGCCCACCTCGCTTCTTGGACGCCGCCGTTCAATGCACCTCGTCTTGTAGATTCGCCAGTCGCATCCCTCGTGCGAGTGCAGCCTTTGTGCCGGCGCGACCGGTTCTCGACGACCGAGCTCGTCAAGAAGGCGCAGCAGTTCTCGCCCGTGCTCGCGCGCGGCTTCAGCACCGGCAACATTGCCATTGTCGACAAGCGCAGCTGGCTCGAAGTCTGCGACCGCAAGCACCGGTACGGCGCCAACCTCCGCGCGTACTACAAGGCATGGAAGCACCGCGATGGCCCCAAGCCCGACTTTTGGGAGTGGCTCAGCGACGAGTCGGTCGAAGTCGAGGGCGTCCCGCGCGCCAAGCTCGAGAAGGAGACTGTGCTCTACTATGACAAGACGGAGCGTCAAAAGTACGCCCTCGACATTCGGTATGGACTGCTGCATGCGTCCTGCACCCAAGCGTTGATTGACACAGGCGAGGAGGGCTGGATTTTCGTCCTTCGGGACGGCGTCCTCTATGGCTCTGCCAAAGTCACCAAGCAGGTGCCACGCATCCACCACACGAGCTTTGTGGGCGGTGAGTGCGTCCAGACCGCCGGCATCCTCGTCATTGCGCAAGGGGTGCTCACGACCATTTACCCGCACAGCGGCCATTACCGCCCGTCGGAAAGCGAAGTGCTTTTGCTCTTGCGCTTCTTGCAAGCGAAAGGCGTCCGCCTCCAAGACGTCCGCGTCGACGTCCAGCGCTTTCAAAAGGTCTCGCGCGAGCGCGCCTCGGTCGCCAAGGTCAGCAAGATGGCGAATGCGTATTTCTGGCCAGCGCTCGACGTGCTCCAGTTCCTGGACGCCAAGGAAAAGGCGTGGGCCGGCACCCTCTTTGACGACATTGAAATCGCCGCCAAGAACCGACCGGGCGCCGTGTGAGCCACGACTATTTACACGCCACGAATCTATTAACTATCTAATCCTTGAGCTACATTTTCTTTTGGAGGCTGCTCGAGGGGACAATTGCGCGAGCGTGACTGCACAAGCTCTCATGCTTGGCTCGGCCCTTGGTGCGTGTCTGATACGACAGGTGACCTCCTCTGTCGCACGCTGACCCACGACCTCGAGCGCATCGAGTAGTCGAAGAGGGCCGCCCTGTGAAAGACCCGTAGGTAGTAGAAGGGTGCTCTACTGCCACTTTTTGAACGAGAGACCCGCTGGCGGCTCCGATGAAGAGGTCTGCAACCGAGATCGTGATCCAGCATGCCGAGTCGATTGATCCTGCGTCTCGTCGGGCTTGATGCCACGCAGCAACTGGGCGTAGGACTATGTGGTTCTGGTCTGCGTCGTGTACTACAACATGACCGACTCGAACCAGCCAGTGTCAATCTTGGCGCGTACGGAGAAATTGGCGCTCGCTGTCCTGAGTGTCTCGTCGCCAACGTTGTCAGAATGCATGTTCATGGATTACACTGTACTACGACGCGGAGTCTCTGCGCCGCGAGACGAAGGAGTTTTGCTCAGTTGCGCAGACCTTTTTTGACGGCCTTGGCCCAGTCGTTGCGCACAAACCACGCAATAAGAACCATAAGCGGAAAGAGCAGCACATCGAGGGCCCAGTTGGTGCGCGGCATCAAGCCCGACGTAGCGACGCCGAGAAGTCGGATACCGAGGTCGCCGCAGTACATGCTGTACTCACCGTTCTGGAGGTCCCGCAAGATCGACTTGGCCACGGCCTCGGGCGTATACAGCGTGTCGTTGGCTTCAATGGCCTTGCACTCAGTAGGCTTGGTAAGCATCTCCGCCGCGTACCCGGGCGTGTCCATCTGACCAGGGAACGCAATGTGCACCGAGATGCCCGACCCCACGAGTTCGTTATGAAGACACTCGGCGAGACCGCGGACCGCGTACTTGCTCGGCGAGTAGGCTGCGTATCCCACGTAGGTCGCGAGGGCCGCGCCCGATGTGATAAAGACGATCGAGCCGCGCGCGCGCTCCCGCATACCCGGCAAGACTGCATCGACCGTGTTGAGCGTGCCAAAGTAGTTGAGGTCCAGCGCCGCCTTGTGTTCGTCGAGCGAGATTTCGTCAAACTTGGCCGTCACAGCCTTGCCAGCAACAGGAAACAGAATCTCGATCGGGCCAAACACGGTCTCGGCCTGGACAACGGCCGACTGCACCGACGCCGCATCGCGCGTGTCGGCCGATTGGTACGCAATGCGGCCGCGGCCCGGCGTCGCGCTCTTCTGCGCCTCGTCGACGACGGCTTGGAGCTTGTCGACGCTGCGTGCCACGATCGTGACGTCGGCACCGGCGTCAACGAGCCGGAGCGCGAGCGCGCGGCCGAGGCCTTGGCTGCCGCCCGTGATCAAGACGTGCTTGCCGGCGTACGACGGGTGGAGCTTGGTCGGCGGCAGAAGCGCGAGCACGAGCGCTACCAGCACATAGAGAGCGAAAGGCGCCGCAAAGACGAGGAAGAGGACGAGGAAGACCGTCGTGTCCGACATGGTGCAAACTGGAGTCTGGTTGCACTCCAGGCGTCAGTTCTGATTTGGTTTTCGTATGGCATACACAAACGTAGAGGGTGGACGACCAATCGTGGCACGCCAGGGACGCTGCATGGGGTTGTCACGGCTGGACACGAGCTTCCCATGATTCTCGTCGCTCACGGCGAGCAAGACGAACGGAC